ATATATTTTGAAAATATTTACATGTATATATTTATGTTTATATAATTTATATTATATATAAATATATAATATATACAATTATAACCTATTTTTCTTAAATATATAAATGCATGTGTGTACAATAAATACACACAGCACACATACATATATCATGCAACCAAAAATGTTTATTTTGATGTGATTAATCGTTTGACAGCACTAGTCTCTATATTAATAAGTGTACTGTGTGTGTAGAGCGTGCTGACCTGCGCACGCTGGCGATGGTCTCTCGGTTCTTGAAGCGGCTGAATCTGGCCGTGTAGTTGAGGGTCTTCATGAAGACCTCCGACAGCTCCTGCTCGTCCTCCGCGCTCTCGTTCTGCTGCTTGCGATGCTCCAGCAACATGTGAACCTCCGAGTTCAGCAGCGTCTCTGCGTTCTCAAACTCTGAGACACATCAAGCATCATGAGCACATCTCTGCATTACCACAACAAAACACTGAACTAGACCACTGCGATCAGGTCAAGTCAAAACACAAGGTAATAACATAATCTGACATTTTGACCTCATTTTGGTGAGTGATAGAGACAGTCAGAATTATCACAATAATAGGAATAAGGTATCACTTCTCTTCAGAATCAGAAAGAGCTTTATTGCCAGGTATGTTTACACATACGAGGAACTTGTTTTAGTGCCAGAAGCTCCACAGTGCCACAGAATGACAGCGACAAGACACAGAGAATAAAAAGAATAATATACAAACAGACAATGTACAAAATAGCAAAAACACAATGTACAAAATAGACAATTGTGTATGTACAGGTATGTTAGGTGCAAATAAGTATCTTTAATGTTATTCATATTTTTTTTGTAACAGAAAAAAACCCTGAAACAAATTAAGAACATAATTAACATTGCTGTAATTCTGAAATGTAAAAAAAAAAAAAAGTAAAAAAAAAAAATTATTTAACTATTGCAAATGAAACAGCAATTATTGAACAAATCACAATTACACAAACAAAACAAATGCATATAAAACATTTATTTGTAGATACACCATTGTGTTTAAGGATTATATACACAAGATACATATATATATATAATTTCGATATTTCATCAACAATTAATACTAGGATTACTCATGTAGGTAAAAGTAATTATTTAAGAGACAATAAGAACAGAGAAACTAAGTACAAACATATGAACAAATAAATTCAATAAAACAAACATTTAGGAAATCCAACAACACGAAACCTGGCGACGCATTTTCTGACAGACAGTCGATTCAAAACATGGCAACAAGAGCGCATTTTGGAGAAAGCAATGCGAAGTGTGTGAAGACAGAGAATCATCACAGTACACAAAACACATAGTTAGCGCTATAGAGCTGCTGCGATGTGTTAGTAATCTCCTCACCTTTAGGAAACATGAGCTGAGACGCGTCCTCCTCCACATCTCCCACATGCGCTGCTCCTCCTGCCGCCATCACACAACAACAACACCTACAGCCGAGATACAGAGAATATGAGCTAGCCTTCACTGTTTACTACACACACGGTCACATAACTACACTGCACACTGTCTACAGCGCCGCTCTGAAGGAAACACATCCTACTTCCGGTCACGCGCCAAAGCGAAAACGTAGGAGAGGATTGACACACAGCGCCACCTAGCGCACTGTCGTTTAACATCGCCTCAGTTTCAATGTGGTATCTTATGATGGATGCTGTACAGTCAGCACGAGCTCTGGTATTCGCTCTGTCTTATTGCTGTCTTGTTTCTGTTTTTCATAGACTTCATCACATTACTGTACTGCAATGCAATGCATTTATATAGCGCTTTATCGTGTGTTGCTGTACACCCAAAGCGCTTTGCAATCATGTTGGGGGGTCTCTCCTCAACCACCACCAGTGTGCAGCAGCCACATTATGGATTATGCATTATGGCACCAACTGCCTCGTCTTCCTATCTGCTTTCAGCAACTGAAAAAAAAAGCAAAGGTCAAGCACTCCCTCAATGGTGTTGAGTCAGGAATCCCGTTGTGTTGGGAGACTCGGTGATGAGGATAGCTTTATCTCAGTTTGAGCATTACTCTTTTTCTTCAAGCTGAAAGAGAATGTACTAACCACTTTCATGCATATGCACTGACACGCCAAAACATTATGGCCATTCATAGGTGAAGTAAATATTGTTAATTATCTCATAAGAAGAGTTTAATGAATTGTTGTCAATATCACACATCCCTAATCCACACCTCTATTGAATATACAACTTAAGGTCCATAGGCTATTTTTGCATTATACTCTGGATTACCACTAACAATATTTTTTGACTTGTTTGTAAAAATGTGGAAATCATGTTAAATGTATTTAAATAGGACACCCATGCTCCTTCTCCAAGATGGTGTGGTTATAGCACTTACCTTTTGTTTAAAACCACTTGATAAATTATGGTTTCTTCTAAAGGTAAAATAGCTGAGCAATGGTAGACAGGGTTACTTGGTTGGCTATTTGCACTTAGTGCCTATCAACTGGTAATACAATCCTGCAGCAGGGCTAACCTTTTGGGCAAATGTAATAACACGAGAATACTATGAGAAAAGTTAGCGAGAAACAAAAACAGCAGAAAACTAAAACAGGGTAAAAAGACAATATTTTATTAATTTAAACAACATTATCAGGATGCTTATCCATTCAAATTCAGTAACAAAAAAATCCAAATTCCAAGTAGCCTGAAAGAAATATTAAATTACATATTTTCAAAGAAGAAATCTTTTATTTTTAAAAACGCTTCCTGAATTGATTGTGACATCAAATTTGATTGTGAACCCTTTTACCTTTGTCAGAATTTACATTTGTAAACCCCTTTACAAGACATTCATCAAAACTAATTTTAAACGTTTAATAATTAAAGCCTCTGTTTTTCTTCTTTTCAGTTTTAACAGTATTTTATGGAAACGTATGAAAGTTGTTTTTGACAAATTGCTTAGTTACATTGAGTACTTTATTTAAAGTGTTTTATGAGCTGAACTTTGGAAGTCACGTTTAGTTGCAATGGCCTATTCAATTTAGAAATTGGACTTAAACTTCAAACAAAGTATATGCATTATTAGCGTATTTCAATAATGTGGCAGAGATGAATTAGAAACAAATAGTATTTTGGTAGAAAAAGACATTAAACTTAAAAGAAACGGAGAAAAAAAGACATTAAACGTAAGAAACTGAGGGGGGAAAAAAGTTTAAGCACACTAACCCCCCGGTTTCACAGACAAGGCTTAAACCTAGTCCCAGACTAAAATGTAAGTCTGAGCCGTTTCAACTGAAATAAACTTGCACTGGCTGATCTTAAAATATATCAGTGCCTTTGTTTTGTCTCAAGATGCACAACAGTAATGTTTTTTTCTAAGACACATTTATAAAAAATTACTTAAATGTCCTAATTGAACTATGGCCTAATCCTGGTTTAGTCTAATCTCTGTCTGTGAAGGCCTTTAAGCCATCAACTCACTATCCCCATCTGGAAATAAAGCACTTAATACCTGAATCGGGCCTCAAATGTATGGGTTGCTTTCCAAACGCACTATCTGATGAGAAATTAAGAGAATATAAATATGAAGTCTTTCTGTTGCACATTTCATTGAACACGTTTAATTTGTATATCTATAAAACACCTCTTGGATATTGTGAAGATCAGCATCCACCTCAGTGTCCTCCTTGAAATCTACATGTGTCCTGTTATGTCTCTGTTCTACTGACTGATCTAGTATTTGTCATCATCTGCATCGCTGAGAGCTTCACCGCCAGCGAGAGATACGCTCTGTGTCAATCTCTTCCGGAAGTGTCCGTTGGGCACCTGCCAGCCTATCCGTGACCTTGTGCGCATCGAGGCGCTGACCGTGTTCGCGCGGCCTAGGCTGGTGGCCACCGCTGCCTCAAAGGTAAGAGTTTCCATAGGAGCGGCAGAATCAGGGCTGTGCTCTTCATCTTGTAGGGCGAGGAAGGACTCGGAAGGATAGCGGCGTGCGGATGAACCCAGATATTCACCCACTTCAAATTGGGTACTTTCCTGCTGTCTCGCCTCCTGGTCTTCAGCACCGTCATCCCATAAAGCAGTACTACAGCACCCTATCATCTGCTGGACGGTTGTGTCGTCATCGTCATCATCATCATCAACGTGTGATGAAGGTTGCGTGTGGCACACTAAGGGTGAGTAGGAGATGTGAGGGTGTGAGCAGGTGGAGGTCTGGGACAGGCGACGCTTGCCGCTCGGGGTGCTGGACTCTGAGGTGGAGGGAACGGGGCTTTCGGAGCTGTTTCCCTGCGGAGAAATCAGATTTAAATCAAATTAATCAAATTAAGGTCATTTAAAGTTAAAGGGTCCGTCTTCTGCCATTTTGGAGAGTACCATGATGCATGCGCGTGCTTTGCATCCAAGCGGCAACCTCCTGCTCTCTCTCGTGAAGCCAACACGGAAGTGACTTAAACTGTTATTCGTCAACTGGCCGCTAGAGGCTGGCTGCAAAAGGGAGTCAATCCCATAGACTCCCCATGTTAAAATGCCCAACTTTACAGCAGAAAAAAACATGTTTACAGCCTGGTTCAAAACATTATTTTGGTCTATATAGCTAATTTTGCCCTTCATGACAACTGTGAGGGAGGTGAATTTTTTTTATAACTCATCTGTTTAAATTATATTTAGCCTTAAAGTTCTGCATAATTAAGGGCGTGGCCACTTGAGTGACAGGTGGATTGCCGCTGCTGACACTGCCGTCGAGCTAGGTGGGCGTGGCTTCAGCAACCAGCTCCCGCCTCTTTGCCCATTTTCGATTATCCGGGAGTGACGCGCGGTGACGCGCTGCCAAGATGGCGACGGCCGGCTCCGCCCACTTTGAGAAAACTACGGGTGACGTCACGGACTCTACGTTCATGTTTTTAAACAGTCTATGTTTGCGTCGTGGCACTCTCAAAAATGGCGGAAGACTGTAACTCGGGGGAGAAGAACTGTTGAATAAAGTCGCTATTTTTGTTTTCTGTACGCACAAAAAGTATTCTTGTAGCTTTGCAAAATTGAAGTTGAGCCACTGATGTCACATGGACTGTTTTACCGATGTCCTTCCTACGTTTCTGGACCTGGGAACATTTCAGTTGCGTTGCTGTCTATGCAGGGTCAGAGAGCTCTCCGACTTCATTGAAGATATCTTAATTTGTGTTCTGAAGGGTTTGGAACGACATGAGAGTGAGTAATTAATGACAGAATTTTCATTTTGGGGTGAACTATCCCTTTAAGATACAGTAGGAGCTTAGGCTGATGATACAATACTTTTTGAGCAATGTTGCTATCAACGGGCAACCTGTGAGATACAGGGCCCACGACCGATCTAAAGTATCCAGATCGAATATTAGAAATTGGTTACCCATTCTCAATAGGAAAGTGCCCAAGCAACGTTGCTCAAAAAAAGTTGCCCGGCAAAATTTTTCAAAAAGTTGCCCCGTGTACGATCAGTCTTATAGTACCTTAAAGGGATAGTTCACCCAAAAATGAAAATCACCCCATAATTTACTCACCCTCAACCATCCTATGTGTTTATGACTTTCTTCATTCAGACAAATACAATCAGAGTTATATTTAAAAATGGCATGGCTCTTCCAAGCTTTATAATGGCAGTGAATGGCTGTTGAGAATTTTAAGTCCAATAAAGTGCATCCATCCATCATAAAAAGTGCTCCACACAGCTCCGGGGGCTGAATAAAGACCTCTTGAAGTGAATCAGTGCGTTTTTGTAAGAAAAATATGCATATTTAAAACGTTATAAACTGTAATCTCTAGTCTCCGCTAACTGTTGTACGCGTGTTCACGAAAGAGTGGCATTCCAGCGGATTTTATGATGGATGGATGCATTTTTTTTCTATTGGACTATTGCATATCATCACCCATGCACTGCCATTATAAAGCTTGGAAGAGCCAGGACATTTTTTAATATAACTCTGATTGTATTCATCTGAAAGAAGAAAGTCATATACACCTAGGATAGCTTGAGAGTAAGTAAATCATGGTGTAATTTCCATTTTTGGGTGAACTATCCCTTTAAGCTGGTAGCTGGTTTCTAGATGGTCTAAGCAAGTCATCTGCTGATTGATCAGTTCCAAAAAACAGCCTGACCCAGTCTTGCTCTGGATCTGAGTCTCACTGCTTAGTGTCTCAATTTGGATCTGGATTTTGGCTTATGGTCCCTGACGAAACCTAAACATAGAACAGTTCTTTCTTCTTTAATTTCTAACTGTCCAGCAGGGGGCAGCATTTGTAGCATAATGTTCAGTTAAACATCCTTTATTTTCTTTTATTTATTTATTTTTTCTCAAAAAGCTGTGAGAGATCATGTGAAAAAACCTTTACAAATAGATATTTGAGCTGTTTGTTTACCTGTCTGGTGACCCCATGCATGCGCTCCTCACTGGGAGAGCGGGAACGAGATTTTGAGTTGGAGTTATCCGGGGAAAGTAAGAACCGCTGTTCTTTTGGTCGTCCTCGCACCTTTTCCATGTACTGTGTCTGGTCTGAGTGGGACACTGTAAATTGTGAAACAGATACAGTAGGTTAACTAAAGCACTCGAGTTATAAACAAGGGATTTCATATCTTAAACTGCATGTGTTCTCATGGGGATTCTCATAAAAGCATATGACTTCAAGCAAAAGCAGAGCAAAAGGTAAGTTCTGTATTGTATGTGTGCGAGAATGGTTAAATTGTTCAAATCATATTTTCCAATGAAGTAACATGCTGTAACTTTTAGAACTTCCTCCTAGTCCTAGAGTGTTTGACGTATGAGCATGCATTTTATCAGCTCTTGTCTCTTGCAGGGTGACTCAGTGGACAAGCGTTGGCTGGTGTATTTGTGTATTCTGGAGTTGTGCTGTGTCTTTTCACTTTATGAGGGAAATGCAGTAACCCACCTGCAGCTTTGTAGCTCTTGTGTCTGGTTCTGAATGCATGTTCAGGTGGGCGATCTTCCCCCCACATGCCATTCAACCCTGATTCATCAACCTGCGCATCAGCATCACATTAGATACAGTCAGCGCAACATCTAGTCAGTCTATAACTCATCGTTCTATAGTTTATTTTTTACTATTTGTAATACTATCTATTCCAAGAAAATTATTTGTTTTCACTATTTTAATTGTTAACCTCCTGATAACATATTGTGTTGTTTAACCCAGAAACCAGGTGAGAAGAATTTATTTTTCCCTGTCAACTATTTCAATAGGAAGAAGACTAGGTACCTGAGAGGCATCGTAGTCTTCACTGCTGTCTGTACGGTGGGTCATGGGCTGCAATAACAGCTCCTGTGGTGATATGGGGCTTAAAGCCACAAACCCCCCACTGGTCCTACAACACAGAACCACATCTTTAATGCATACACAATACTGTGAGTGAAACCTTAAACACCTATAATGTAAGTCACTATGCAGTGTACATAACAGTATAGTTTATGCTATAGTTTTTATGCTATTAAGCAGCAATGATAGAGGAAAGATTCGTATTGTGCCATATACTCACATATTAAGCATGCATTGGAGTATATATTAAGACAGTTCAGTTATGTGTTATTTTAAACATGACCCTTCTTTGAAGACATTGGAACTTACAAGGCTGATCCAGCGCTGTGAGATATCAGGGGCAGGGTGGGACTTTTCTGTACAAAAGGGGTAAACAAATACTTTGAAATTATAAAAAAGGACAAAGCTTTATGTATTTGAAGTATATACAAAACATATAACATGTAAATATGTCTGGAGATAAATTAATCCTAAAAAAAAGCATGAAATAATGAGTACAAATTTGTCTAAATGTGAAAAAAGTCAGCCTACCTGTGCCTCAATCTGTTGCCTCAACTTCTTGGCTTTGCTCTGCTTAAAGTAATCCATGATCATCATAGAAGCATAGATCTTTCCAACAGTCATGTCCGTGTCTGGAGATACATATATTCACAGTCATTATGAAAGTACAACAGATTCATTTACATCAACCAAACCAAACTTTTAAAATCGGCCAGTTTAATGCTCATAACACTGTTAAAATGGAAAGGTGTCGTGTAATACCTACGGAGCACCTACAGGAATAAGGTGCATTTCCACTAGAAACTTTGCATTTGCTTGCAAAACATTTGATGGAAATACTATGAAGCGGGAACAAAAACTGTGAACTTTCAGAGAACGCAATATTTTGAAAAAAAGAACGTTTCCCATGAATGCAATACATTTGCGAGCATTTGAAAAATAATTGCTTCCTATCTCATATTTTTTTCCATCACTATGTCCCCTCAGGGGCTCTGTAAATTCCTATACACTCACTGGCCATTTTATTAGGTACACCTGTTCAGCTGCTCGTTAACGCAAATATCTAATGAGCCAATTCCATGGCAGCAACATGTAGTCATGTTAACATCGCCAAAGCTTAGCGAATGCAAAGTTTCTCCAGAGAATGCAATATTTTGAAAAAAAGAATGTTTCCCATGAATGCAATACATTTGCGAGCATTTGAAAAATAATTGCTTCCTATCTCATATTTTTTTCCATCATTATGTCCCCTCAGGGGCTCTGTAAATTCCTATACACTCACTGGCCATTTTATTAGGTACACCTGTTCAGCTGCTCGTTAACGCAAATATCTAATGAGCCAATTCCATGGCAGCAACATGTAGTCATGTTAACATCGCCAAAGCCGATCTGCTGAAGTTCAAACCGAGCACCAGAATGGAGAAGAAAGGTGATCTAAGGCTGCGTTTACACTTGTCATTAACATGCGATCACCGCAATCCGATCAAGCAGATCGGATCATCAGTCAATCAGGACACAGCGCGTTTACACTTGTCTTTTCAATGTGTACATGGACAACATCCGGATACGGGTCGCATGTTAATGCCAAGTGTAAACACAGCCTAAGTGACTTTGATTGTGACATGGTTGCTGGTGCCAGATGGGCTGGCCTGAGTATTTCAGAAACTGCTGATCTACTGGTATTTTCACGTCTCTAGGGTTTAAAGAGAATGGTCTGAAAAAGAGAAAATAAACAGTGAGCAGCAGTTCTGTGGGGGCGAACATGCCTTGTTGAAGTCAGAGGAGAATGGCCAGACTGGTTCAAGCTGATAGAAAGGCAACAGTAACTTGTTACAACTGAGCTATGCAGAAGCATCTCCGAATGCACAACACGTCAAACCTCGAAGCAGATGGGCTACAGCAGCAGAAGACCACACTGGGTGCCGCTCCTATCATCTAAGAACAGGAAGCTGAGGCTACAATTCACACGGGCTCTCCAAAACCGGACAGCAGATTAAATTATAATTAAGCAGATTAATTATTAATTAAGACTAAAAAAGTTGCCTGGTCAATTTTTGCTGCAACATTCAGATGGGCGAGTCAGAATTTGGCAAAACAACTTGAAAGCATGGATCCATCCTACCTTGGATCAATGGTTCAGGCTGATGATAGTGGTGCAATGGTGTGGGGGATAATTTCTTGGCAAACGTATGTCCCTTAGTACCAATTGAGCATCGTTTAAACACCACAGTCTACTTGGGTATTGTTGCTGACCATGTCCATCCTTTTATGACCATAGCGTATGATCTTGTGATGGATACTTCCAGCAGCATAACAGGCCATGTCACAAAGCTCAAATGACCTCCACAGTCACCAGATCTCAATCCAATAGAGCACCTATGGACCACGTCATGGATGTGTAGCCAACGAATCTGCAGCAACTTTGTGATGCTATCATGTTAATATGGACCAAAATCTCAGAGGAATTTTTCCAAGGCAGCTCTAAAAGCAACGGGGATCCAACCTGGGAAAGTGGCCGGTGAGTATATACGGAAGTATATGTCCACAATTCATTTGATAACAGGTTGTCAACAAGGTGGTTCTGGGGACAAATGTAGATAGGCATAATTTGTTAAACAATTAAAAAAACTAAACAGAATGCTGGCACATTAATCATAGCAGCTGGCAACAAAGGCAAGTCAAGAGTCAGACTACAAGGATTCAAAAACTGGAGATAGCTTCAACTAAAAATGTTATTTTGTCAGAGCAAAAACCTTGTGGGCAGCCCTCCAACATATAGCACAGTTGCGCCTCAGGCAACCTAAGTTAAATCATGGTTAAAGGGCCTTTGCCTGTTCTGTTCTTCTCTCTGTCCTCCCTGTTGTTTCTTGTCTCATCTACACTGTCCTGTCTAATAAAGACATAAAAGGCCAACAATATAACAAAACATAGTTTTGTGCAAAAACAAACTCTAAGGTATATGTCAAGATCAGGGGTGTCCAAACTCGGTCTTGGAGGGCCACTGTCCTGCAGAGATTAGCTCCAACTTGCCTCAACAAACCTTCCTGGAAGTTTCCAGTTTGCCCAGTAAGACCTTGATTAACTGGTTTATGTGTGCTTTATTGGGGTTGCACCTAAACTTTGCAGGACACTGGGCCTCCAGGAACAGGACTGGACACCCCTGTCCAAGAAGGTTAAGACCCAATCTGGAAAGTACCAGGTAAAGCCTCATGATCAAGTATAGAACTGAGGATACATCAGATCCTCAATTTTACCCTACGTGACCAAAGTTTGATCTGTCTTGCTTCTCAGTAAGTGGCCAATTCTATGGCCCCTTCTACCATACTTTACAGTCTTAAGTAGTGCCTTTTCACGTCCTAGTACTCTTTCAAGAATGAAGACCGGGTCTGTTGCTCTGATATCTTCATGAACATTTGGATGCATATCTGATTCTATTCATGCTGCAGGAATTATGTTATGGCTATAGCCTTACATCCTCTCCTCTTGAAACACTGAAATTGGTTAGCTTGCACACTCTTACTGAAGATTGTGCAGCTACTGATCCTAGCTTCTATAAAGAGTATTGATGATCTGCAGGCTCATTTGTTTAAGAGAGCCTGTTTGGAGTATACTCCCGAGTCCTCTGAAGTTAGACTGCATCTCTGGAAAGGGTACAGGACAGCCTGAAGTGCTGTCTATGTCTTTTAGGTTGTAGGTAGAGGCTACTCCTTGACTCAAGTACTGCAGCAGTACAACTTCTGAGGGCCCTATTACTATTTTCCATTGCAACTGAGTCTCACCTTTGTTGATGGGTACCAGCAGATCCAGAGTCTTTTGGGACAGGTGTGGCCAGGTGACACTTATCTCCTTCTGCAATTCGATGTCCAACTGTAGCCGGTCCTCGCCCCCTGATAGGACACATATGGTGTCAAATAAGAGACGAGTACAGTAGAAAAAAATTTACAAACTGAAGAACATGCATACTTTGCATCCTCATAAAATATAACGGTAAGAGTCTTTCTGTCACTTATGTAGTGCTGGGATATCTGAGCATTTTGGGATTTCTCCCCATTTACTCCTCTTCACCAAGCTGTCATGTGCAAGACTGTTGTCTCATCCCTGGCATCTGCAAGAAATTCAGCCTCTTCTCCTGTCAGCCTAGTTTTATTTTTCTTTACGTCCTGCCCTGTTCACTCAGATACTGACTTTATCCTGCTCTCATGGCTCTGAACCTGGACTGTTTCCTGGATTATCCATCTCTTTTATTCTCCATGGACTAACTTGCTGGTTTGCCCACTGACAATCTCTGCCTGGCCCTGAACTGAGTTATCGCCAAGCTCTATTACAGTTTACACCTTTCTTTTGCCTCGTAGCTGTTTAATCTTCAATAATTTGCACTCCAAGTAAATCACCTTCATTTGACTCCACCTTTCACTGACTGGGACAACCATTGGGATTTACTAAATAATTCCAATATGGTAATGATGTGGACCCTTGTTGCAGAGGTGTCGCCAGAAAATCATTTGTGTCCCAATGTGTACTAAACCAGGGTCCTTTCCAGTTCCCGAATTTATGTACACAGTATGCTTATGCACAACATAGGGAGCTTATTTAGACACACCCATACAGGTGTGGAACAGTATGAGTGGGAGTAAGTTATGCTATAATTGTCATTATACTACTATTGTTTTAAAGTAGAGATTTGCAATTCTGACCTCTAGCGATTTTTATCTCCAGAGCAGTGCGGATCAGAGACAGCAGTGTGGAGGTGAAGTGAACCGTCATGTCCTCATCGACTGGCATATTCATCAGCACCAGTCTCTGCCAATAGCAGCACAGCATGGTTGCAAAAATTAATGATCTAAAATGCTCTTTTTAACAGTTATTAGTACTAACACTGTTTAAGTATTTTTTTTTTCTCTGTATTTCAGTAGCATACAGCAAATACCACTATTAAACAATGAAATGTATTTGCAAGATACAACTTTTCTACCTTGTATGCAATTTTGGCAGGACACTTCTTTCCCAATCCAAGAGGTGGAGACATGTGGGTTAGCATCTCGTACATGGCAGTGTAGGGAATACGGCCACTGCAGGGGAGAAGCAAAGT